GCTGGCACACGGTCAGGCTTGTCTGTGCCATGAAGTGCTGAGCAGCTGCCTGGCTTGGAGGCTGAGGAAGAGCGCGGCAGAAGTGAGCATCGCTGCTGGGCCCCATCCTGCCTCGGGAGCACCCCTGGCTGTGCTTCCGATGACAAATCCACACTGAAGCTGACACTTCCTCCTCTCCCTCTTCGGCTGCCGCAATTGTGCCTGTACCCAGCTTTTGAGTTTCCACCACGTGAATCAAACCTGTGTTTGGCTCTAGAAGGAATCTGTCCAGATACCAATGGAAACATGACTGTGCCTGGGTTTCTTGCCCAGCTTTGCTGACAGCCGTAGAGCCGCCTATGTACTGGACCAGCCGAAATACTGGTGGTAAGGCAGCTGTGGGACTCGGTGTCCGGCGCGTGGTCGGGCACCAGATGTACCAGTGCTGTGTCTGTCCCAGCAGCCCACACCCGATGTCAGTACTGGGAGGAGGATGGCTGTTCTGAATGGAAAAATCCGTATTGATTCAAGAATTACTTTGCTTTGAGAAGAGTTTTGCCTTTGTGCACGGAATCACATGAGTGATGTAGCATCTCTGCCCGCGGAGCACCGCTGTGCCGCTGCAGAGACGGGGCCGCGAGCCTGAGCCTCCGTTCCGCAGCAAAGAGGCTGCGTGGGCCCCCCACGACCACACCAGAAGCAACTGGCTTGTTCCCAGCGCTGAGAAATCCACCTCCACAGGTATTTCACGTGACCCATGGAGCAAGTGGGAGCTGCTGCGATTCTCAACAGCGTGTAGCCAGCGTCTGTGGTTTTTATTACAAACTTCTGTGAAGTCTCACCTGGCTCCTGAAACACCTAAGGGCTTTTGAAGAAACGTGGCCTTGTGCTCGGAGCGGCACTGAGCGAGAGCGGTGGAGGCAAACCAAGAGCTCCAGTGCCTGGATGAAGGAGGTGAGCGTCCCTGCTGAGCGTGGGAGCAGCCCGCCCGCTCGGCGCATGGCCCAAATAACCACGTCCAGTGCTTCACCCCATATTGGGGAACCTGCAGCTTTTCTCAGACGGAGAGATAGGAGTGTCTTGTACCTTCGGAAGCAAAAGCAGTTTCTCGGTGGCCTTGGCTGAGGGTGGCGTAAGCAGTTTTCTCCGGCTGAGCCATCCGTTCAACGCAGCGCACAACGTGTTGCCAGATGCTGACGCAGAAGAGGTTCAGCACCTCCGGATCCGCTGAGCCTCTTCCTCAACATCTGGCTACTGTCTTTCCCTCAAGACCGGACAAGAACAAGGCCACGTGTCTGAATGGCAGATGGAGTTCAGGTCACTGGAAAGGGACCGAAT